ACTCCGATATTCAGATTGTTTCTTAACACTTCTTATGCATCGCCACATAGGATTTTTTTTTAAATTTCTAATGAAAAGTATGGATAGTAACGCCAAAGACTTGCATAAGTCTGTTTTTAAAATCTTTGTTAATTATTATAAAAGAAAACATTTAACATTTAGGAAAATAAATGCTCTGGCCACAAATGTATAAGTAGCCTTAGTTGTAAGAGACAGGGCACAAGCCTGAACAGGAAGAACCAAGTACAGAGTCTTCCTCGCCTGCTATCTTCTCCAAGGCTTAATACTATATTATAGGTGCTCTTTGCAGGGTGGGTGCAATTTGTTTTAAATGTAGAGAGCAGCATTGTAGACCACAAACTGATAGGTAGCTTGCGGTGCCAAGCTGCGGTAAACAAAGCTAGCAGGGTATTGTCCTGTATTAAGAAGGGGATGTATTGCAGGGACAAGTCTATAATTGTGCCTCTATATAGATCGTTGGTTCGGCCACATCTGGAGTACGCGGTCCAGTTTTGGTCGCCGGTACTGAGAAGGGATGTCCTTGAACTGGAGTGAGTCCAGCGGAGGGCAACAAAACTAATTAGGGGAATGGAGGACCAGAGCTATGAGACAAGGCTTCTGACCTTAAACATGTTTACGCTGGAATTAAGGAGATTAAGGGGGGATATGATTTTCATGTACAAGATGTTCACTGGTGACAGTAACATTGGCAACAAACTGTTTAAGATTAACTCCATTACAAAGACTAGAGGCCACCACCTAAAGTTGGTGGAGAAAAAATTGCAGCACAATGGGCGAAGAGGGTTCTTTACAGTAAGAGCGTTTAAGGTCTGGAACTCACTGCCACCGGCAGTGATTTCAGCCAAGAGTGTAGATTTGTTCAAGAAACGTTTGGACAATTTCTTGAGGGACCATAATATCCAGGGATGCCAGTATCCCTAAGAATGGGATGATGCGTGGACCTATATGGGTTGGACTTGATGGACGTATGTCTTTATTCAACCCCAAATATTATGTAACTATGTAACTATGCAATTAAAAAAATGCAAACTGGCACTAAATGTAATCCTGTACCACTAGTAAGCTGAAGAGTTCCTTTTCATACTGTCTGCCTTGTGTAAGGCCATTGCAGTATTTGCATGTGCTTCTGCTTTCTAACACCACAAATGCATTAGATGAATGCTTATTGAGGAATAAAGATGGCGGAATCTGTGCCAGGATGGGAATAACTCACTAAAAACCATTCCGGCATTCTGATCACCATCTCCATATTTGTCTGTGTGTACTAGAGGTCTGTCAGCTGAAACTGATGTAAGCACTACACTGGCTCTGTCTGGGGCATGATTTTCCCTTATGATTTTTTCAGCCTCTTATAACAAAAGTGGACTTGTACTTTAAAATGGTGATTTGTCTTTTACCTTGTCCAGTTTTTCTATGTTTTCCGCTATACTTTGTGCAGAATTTTGCTAGAGAGACATTCTTTCGGTCAGCGGGGTTGTGTACTATGCACAGGACCTCCATGTCCCAGGACTCCCGTTGCAGTGACATCTGGACTGTCTCTCCAGAATTATTATACAGCTGATCTCCATGTCTATATTTCCAAGTATAGGACAATGATGATGTATTTCTTGGGATTGAACATCGAAGAGTCACATTGCACCAGTCAGTGGTCTTCTCCATGGATTTAAATCTTATAGATGGGGTAGGAACAGGTTCTACATGGAGGAAAAACACGTTACATCTTTGTATTTTTTTAAAAAGGTACACATTTTAGCCGCTTTTCCTACAACCTGGTTGGAGATGTTGACCAGTGGCGTTTTATACCTAGGGTAGCAGGAACAAGAACCTTTGCTTACCAAATCCCATGCTCTCAGAGACCACCTCTACACCAGTGGCATCACAAGGGTGGGGGTGTGTGGGTGTGTGTGCGTGGGTGTGTGTCACTAACAGTCATTTTTAAAAGTAGGGCACTCGGCCATTAACCGAGAACCCCGCAGCGGCACAAGAGAGAGGGGGGACTCGGTGACATACCTAATCCCACCAGGTCAATCTCCCCTCCTCTCTTTGCCCGCGTCCATCACCAAGATTGCCGCAGGCAGCGAAGTACATCACCGTGCATTTGTTATGAAGTCACACCACAAACCACATAATGCATGCACGGCGGCCGCACCAGGTGACACCCACCCTGGTGACGCCACTGCTCTACACTGTAATATTGGTCCTGACAGCCTCTTCTCCATAACATTCTAGAGGTCACAGGCACTCTGACGTCATGAAATACAACTGAGGGACAGAAAAGGGAGACTGTCAGACATAATCCCCTTCATCAGGGCTTGGAAAGGATAAGAATAAGGAAAAAACCTCAGAATTTAGTTCTTATTACAGCTATGGGCAGTTTTCTTAAAATTAGTAGATTCCAGCCAGCGATGCATAGTCGATAAGCTTCATTGTACATGAAGACACAGAGGGACCACCCATAAGCCGCAGCGTCAGCTGCCAGGAAGTGAGTGATTAGGTAAGTAAAACTGCTTGCTATTTGGTTTCTCTAGGCATAAACAAACTTATACCCTTGCAGTGTGGGGGTAGCCCGATGTGAACCTGAGCTCTTCCAAACTTGGCAGGAGCTCCTCCTGAAAATGCAATGTAGCTCCTCCCATGCTGCCCAGTCAGCTGCCGGGTGGGGAATTCCCTACTCACAGCTTGACATAAGCAAAGGAGTGGGGTGCATTGATGCCATTGACCTTATGTGACTATATTAAGTAAATGACATCAGCAGAAGCATACCCCTTTGTTTATGGTCAGCTGCTGAATGGACGGGAGGCCTTTGTAGCTTCCATGTTTGAATGGGTTCAGGTTCCGACCAAACTCCACAAGCATTCCTGGCAGGAACCTGTTTTTGTCAGAGCAATAAGTGAAGTTCAGCAGACAGATGGAGTTATGACGGCAGATCTGAGATCTTCAGGGTCTATGTACGAGACCTTAACAATGTTCTTGGAAATGAGCACAGCCAATAGACATACAAATCAGACAAAAGCATCATGCTGAAAAACACTGATTTGTCATGAAAGACCATGACCCTTGCACTAGTCTTGTGATGAAGGAAAAGCAGATTTCAACATTATCACATATTTCAGGAAGTCATCCGATATCTGTAACTGATAACCCTGAAATGGCCTAAAGACCTTTGTAAACACAGGGTTACATTAATATTTAGATGACCACATACCATACACAGTGAGATTGTAGGATGCGTCAAGTGTTTTGTCCATAAAAGTCATGGTTACAGAGTAGAGTCCACTGTCATTCAGTGTTAGTTGTCCAATCCTCAGTGCTCTTCCATCATCCAGCATCTCCAGCCTTCCTTTAAACTCATTTCTTATCACAGTAAGCTGACTATTTATAAAAGATGCCATAATGTGAGCTTGGAAGTTCCAGTAGACATGTTGTACAGGATGAGATGTATCCACAGATGGTGACAGGAGGACGGACTGGTTTATAAGGCCATTCACTCTGATAGGGACAACTTCTCCTCCTCCTGTTAACACAAACAAATAAAAAATATGTCAATTTTTAAAGGGTAATTTTGGACACATTGGAAGCATTTTCTAACAAAGATGAACATTCCATAGCGAGTACTTTAAAATAACATTTGCTATGGCACACATGTTTGTGCACATAGATTTTACATAGAAATAAGATTGTAAAAAGAAAATTAAAGTCAAGGTCCAGTCAAAATAAAAAAAATTAAATTAGGGACGGCCTAAAACTTCTGCTGCCTGTGTTGCCAGAGAGCAGTGGCAGGCAGCCTTGGCACGCCAGCTTTGGTGAAACTACAATTCCCATCATGCCTCTGTGAGTCATGTATGGGGCTGTAAATCTTGCAATGCCTCATGAGACTTGAAGTTCCACAACAGCTGGGATGCAGAGGTTGCCTACCCCTGCCATAGAGATTTATCTTCCTGTTCTGAAGGGAAGGAATGGATTACATCTTGGGAGCCTATAGGCGCAGTAAACTTGGTGCCTTAATCCTCACTCATACAGGCCACACCTCAGGCCAGTGGCGTCACAAGGGGGCCCGCACCGGGGTGACACCATTGGAGGGGTGCCACACTTTTGTTGTGCTCCTTAAACATTTCTCTCAAACATATATAGTGTTAGAAAAACAAATGCCCATTCAAATGTGACAACTGGCCTGTAGGTACTAGGGGTACTAGGGGGGCTGGAGCGGTAGGCAACTTCAGCTATCACACTTCTAATTCTATTTCTACTTCGTCAAATATAAAGCAGGTAAATGGTGACAGCTATTCCTGCATTATGTGGGATGAGGAGGTAATAGCAAGGGGGTAACAAGACTGGTCGCTACAACCAAAATGGTAGGTAAGGTGGAGTGTGGCACCCTGGGTGAGGTAAGTAACACAGCTTTATATTTTTCCCCCTTGGAATATGAGCCTTCTATGTCTGCTGTTGGGGAAGAAGGGGCAGACCAATTTTACACTACTGCTGGTCTCCCATTGTTTTGAAGACTCCACTGTTCTCTCTACTTCCTCTCCAGCTCCTACAGCCACTATTCCTTTGTGTACCCTTCCCCTCAGCACCTCTTTAGCGGTTCCACATGCTGCTCATTATACTAACTCTCCCCTTCTGTGTCCATGACTCTCCTCTCCTCTCTCCAACTCCATTCAAGCTGTTCTCCTTACCGCCCTGCATGCTGCCATACAGGAGGGCTGTCAGCAATCCTGTAACAGACCAGGACTCAGTGGTCTTGTTAACAGCTAAGACTTGGCAGTTTCAGACACCCGTCATAAGGTAATACCTATAAGCTCATGCCCAGTATACCTTACAGTAAATCTGGCCCTTCTGACATTCATCACCTGGACAGGAAGTGAAGGGAAATCTTCCTCCTGGAGACACAAACAGCAATAACATCCAGACAGAGGTCCTAATATTTTATCATTCTATCAGGAGAAATATCCTCATTGGTTCCAATGTCCCTATTGTGGGCAGGGTTGCCACCTTTTCTTCAATCGAAACCCGAACACTCTAGTGACCGACAACATTTTTTTGGGAGAATGAGTTGTGGCTTATTCATATCTAAATAGCGCCACCCTTTCGTATGTAAATATCACATTTGAGACTATTTTTAGTGCTGGGCCAGTAGCCCCTATCTTAATTTTGATTGCCCATGTCTGCCTGACATGATGTGTCCGGGTTTCTGCTGCCATAAAACCCGGACAGAGCATTCAAAACCCGGACTGTCCGGGTGAATCCTGGACAGGTGGCAACCCTAATTGTGGGAGTAAACCTCACTTCCTGCTCTGATACTTCTCAAATAGAAATTAGGGGGGTTTCTGTTCTGTCTGACACTCCCCTAATAAGAAGAAATATCCTGGATGCAACATTGATAAAAAGTTGCGCAAGAGGAAGTTTTTAAAACAAGTGTTTTGGCCTTAAGGGCTTGTTCCCACCAGATGCATTGGGCTGCACCCCTGCCCAGTGTAATCCAAAGCATAGACAAAGCAAGTTAGTTCACACAACATGGTGTATGCTGAAAAACAGTACTTTTTTTTACCGTGGCGTGTTGTGAATAGAAATGAATGAAATGTCACTTTCAGCTCAATACAGTTCAAAGAAAAGAAAAAAGGGTAAACAGTGCGATGCTCTGAAATCAGTACATTGCTCCGCTGCCTTCACAGCGCTCCCCAGGGGGCATACGGTAGTGCCTGCTGCTAGGGTGAACATAATGGTTGGAGTGGAGCTTTAACTCATGATCATATAGCTGATATAATATATATATTAGGAGGTGCACCCAAAGGAAAATGTCAAAAAACGAAACAAAACCGAAATGAAGAAAAATGTCAGGCCGAAACCCAAACTGTTTTTTTCCTAACTTTTTCACATTTTTAAATTTTTTTATTTATTTTTATTAACCTCTCGCCGTCCGCCCGTTTTGAAAAAACGGACAGTTGGCAGACTCACATTGGCGGGTTGCCGTAATTAGACAGCATTTTTTTTCTGCGCGCACGGGCAGGAAAAAACCCGTCCGTTACCGGACGTTTCACATACAAACGAATGGCGGCTCTATAGCTGCCGATCGTTTGTACGTTGTGTTTTGCTCCCCCCCCTAGAGTGCCGCCCCCTCCTGCCCCCTCACCTTCAATCCCGGGATCCGCTAGCCCATCTGCTCCCCGGGATTGGCTCGGGAGGGTGTCAGGAGGTAAGATGGGAGAGAGATCAACATCTTCCTCCTTGCTGTACTCCCTCCATACTGTGAATGCGGAAGTGATGTGTAATACATCACTTCCGCATTCACCTGTCCGTCATCTGGCTGCTATAGCCAGAAAGAAGAAGCTGATGAAGCAGATATCTAACGTTGGCGTAAAAGCAATAATTTCATGGCCATCGATCACTGATAACACTAAACTGATGAGCGGTAAA